GGAAAAATTCATCTTTGTGGAACAATTTAGAGAGTGTGGAAAAAATCATGTGGAACAATTTGTGGAAAAAAATCTTTGTGGAACAATCTTTGTGAAATTAATTTTTGTGGAACAATCTTTGTGGAATTAATCTTTGTGGAATAATCGTTGTGGAATTCCACAAAGATTGGAAAAAAAATCATTTTTGTGGAACGGAGGGGTAATGATCTAGTCAAGGCTACAAACCTCATGTGAACAACTTGGACTCTCTCCTCCTATATATAATATCAAAAACCTTGAGAGAACACAAACATAAACTACAATCTTAATTCTTGAAAACAAAACAACAATGACGATAAAATCAAAACCTCGATCTCCCCTTTCTCTCCCGGTCATCCACTTTTCGAGTCGAGATCTCAAACCGGAAACTCCAGAGTGGGACTCGGTTAGAACCCGAGTCCGAAAATCCCTAGAAGACTACGGATGTTTCGAGGCCATGTTCGATGGAGCTTCAAAGGAGCTAAGGAAGGCACTGTTCGAGGCCTCTGAGGAAGTTTTTGATCTACCATTGGAGAACAAACTGAATGCAAAGTCAGATAACCATAACTATGGTTACTCCGGTCAGATTCCGGCAATGCCTTTATTTGAAGGCTTGGGATTTGACGGTGTAGATAATCATGAGGTTGTCCATGACTTGACGCAGAAGCTTTGGCCTCAAGGCAACATCACCTTCAGGTTCTCTTTCTTATATAGTTTTGTTCATGTCACTAAACAAAAAAACTTATTATCAGAATTTTAACGTTTCTTCACATGAAGATTTACATAAATTTTGTTCGGAGGTATTAGTTTCAACAGTTTAAGAATATTCAAACCAGAAGTACTGATTATAAAATACTAAGATTTGCGGTACATATTCAGCAAGAATGTTCAGTCATTCGCGGAGAAGTTAATAGAATTAGACGTGAAGGTGAGGACAATGATAATGGAGAGTTTCGGGCTCGAGAAGTACATCGAGGAACATCTGAACTCAGCGAACCGCTTTCATTTATTTAAATACAAAGGACTTGCAGATGATAATGTAGAAGAGGAGATAGGACTTGACTCTCATATCGATAGACATTTCCTTTCCATACTTTGCCAAAACGAGGTAGAAGATGGCGTGGAGATAAAACCCAAAGATGGTGACGAGTGGATCAAAGCTAGGCCATCTCAAGACTCTTCTTTCCTTGTTTTAGCCGGAGCTTCTCTTCATGTACAAATCAAGTTCCTTGAGTCTAAAGTTTCATCTGTTATAACTATGTTATCAATATATATAAAATATGAGTTTTGCAGGTACTACTGAATGGCGGGGTGTTTCCTCCGCTTCACCGTGTGGTTATGACCGGGAAAAAAGATCGGTATGTGGCTGGACTGTTCTTGCGTCCTAAAGAAGGACTGATCATAAATGCCCCTGAGGAGATAGTCGATGATGAACATCCTCGTCTCTATAAGCCTTTTGATTATGAAGATTACGTGAAATTCACCAACACATATACTAAGAAGAGGGATCTATCTAATCTCAAGACTTATTGTGGCATTTGAAACATTTATAATGTATCATTTGATAATTGTGAATCAGCATACTGTAACTGATTTGCTCTCGAGTTGGCTTTTTCTCACCTTTACTTTACCTTGTTGACTCTTGAGCTTGTAATAAAACCTAATTTGCAGAAACTCCATGACAAATTAATTTATGAACGTAAGAACATACAAAATGTTATGAAAGAATTGTATAGGTTCTCATAAAAGTAAAGTTATAATGACGAAGAATGACGGCATGTTGCATATTTTTAAAATTAAGTGTTGAGTTACCAATTTTTTTTTTTTTTTAAGAAAAGTTACCAATTTTAGATAGTTTTAACTTTTAACCAATGTTTAGTAAAGACCAAACATAATATGGATGATCATATGTAAATGTTTAGTGACAACACATATTTTCTATAATTCATATTCATATTCCAATTGTAATATTATAAGATTTGGGTGGATAACTAAGAACCGGGACCATTAATTTAACTTTTAGTTATTAAAAAAAGGGTAAATCCAAAAGAGTTTCACGTGAAGAAAACCCTTAAAAACGACAATCTTCAGAAGTTTTTTTTTTTTTTGCTAAAAAACAATCTTCAGAAGTTTCACGTGTTGTGTGGACATTATACGTTTGTGATACTGATAATGTATACACTATTAACGATTGTCAATTAGAATAATTACGTTACATGCATATTGCATATTGACGTTACAAATAAAAAAGACTTGTTAAAAACAAAAAAACAAAAAAGACGTTACA